ATAACTTGCTGGAATAAACCTAGCGTTGTTTTTACACCACAGTTGGGACGGATATATCCAAGCATATCCAGCGCCTGCTCGTCGACCTACCATTGTACGTATATTTCCGAAGGATCAACGTTTGTGGAAACCTCCCCTCTGTTCCGAGTCGCGAAAGTATGGTTCACTGCCGACATGGGGTTATGATAACCCGCTAGTGCGCCATCCAGTTCAGTGGAGTAGTTATCACACAGGCTTATCCTTGACCAATACGAACGAAGTGCTTCACGTTAGATAGTCTGTGGGCGAGGGATGCAAGTCTGAGGCAGTCGCCCCAGTTTTCATCGACATTGCCCAAAGAATGACTTCACCTTCAAACTTGCCCTAGTTTTTGTGTACGTTCAGACGGACAGTCCAGTCTATCTTGCATACTTCTTCCTCAGGTCCTCTTCTGTAAACTTTTCAGTCCAGCATATTATTGGGGACTCTTCAGTGCGGAAGCACAGCTGGGGCATAGCTTTGTTGCTAAACAGATAGTTTTACAGACAGGCCTTGTAATCGGAAAGGAGAGTCACCCGAAAGACACCCTCTAACAGCGTCTAACGAACCGGTACAGGCAAAAATCGGTTGCTGTTTTACCGACCCAAGGTCAACCCATGTACTCGTGGTGACTATCATGAGGCCTGAGGGTGTCCAGCTATCATGTGGAGGTTTTTCCGTTTAAGTTAACCGCCGGCGCTACGTTTACAGGTTATGACTTAGGATTTATGCTGGGACAATTGGATTACACTTCTTTTTCGAGTTCAACAGATTGCCGTAACAGTGTGTCAGTTTTTGGCCGATTCGGGAACATTTGCAACACTTCATTGTGCGATACGGATAATCTGACACGCAGCCCTATCCTCTGCACTGGCAATACGGTGTCTTCTGGTCACTCGCAGTTTACTCGCCTTCGTGTCACACATGTGCCAGTTGGCTGTTTGAGTCGCCAATGAGCATCGCGTCATTCTTCATACTCATAAATTTGACACAGTCCTCTAACAATTCGTGTAACGTGCGTCAGATTTCTGGTCTAATTGAGCGAGCAATCGCGTGCGTATGTCGGCATTTTTCGGCGGTGTTAACACGTTAGTAAAATGAAGAGCTTTGATATGTTTGCTAGTCGCCTAATCTGAGTCGGTTTGACTACGGGTATCGCCTAGTCGGCCAGGTAAAGTGAAATGATTATAACGCAGGTTGAGCGACGATTTTGAGAAATTGAGTGGAGCCTTTGAGTCCCCAACTGCGTCATCGGAAGAAACGTCTGGTAGTCTCTCGAGTAGGACGAGCTTTAAACACCTCTCATGTTCTCAGTGACCAGTTGTTGAAACAAGATCTCTACCTTGTCTTTGTATCCCAGCTGTACGGCTTTCTCCACAAGTAGCGTTTCGTAGTTTCTACACCATGCTCCAGAGCTAGTGTCGCTGTCATGCGGTCTTCCACATCCTTCCGCTTGTTATTCTGTCTGCTAGCTTCTACATTCCCCGCACTTTTGCGAGCAAGGCTGGCCCGCTGTGCTTCTAGAATCTGCTGAATACTTTTTGCTGTAGGCATATTTTCGGAAACCTTCATCATCAATTATGTCCCGAGGGATGGATAAGGGAGAAAGGAGGCAAATCCAGGGATTGACTTCTGTATTTTTTCAGTAGCGAGTTGCCCAATGAGCCAAATTCACACTAGATATCCAATTCCTAACAGCCCTGTACTTTAGCGCGGTCGTCGTGGACTGGCTGTTTCGTGTACAGTAACCTCCTCGTGGTGAAATCCCAGACGTTCGGCCGACCATAAACTAGGCTAAAGGCATGAGCAAAGGTATTACGCTTGCTCG